ACACAGATCCACCTACACCTAAAAGGAACAGTTCCAAGGCACCTGGCCTGGCAGGTGGGTGGAGCAGCTCTGCAGGGTCAGAGGAAGGTGAGTGTGGTGGGGCTGGGGACCCAGGGGAGCAGGGAAGTTGGCAGGAGCCTCCAGGACATCACAGAGAAAGGGAAGCGCCACCCATGGAGAGTGCAGTTAATTTGTCAGCTAACATCCTGGTGGTGGAGCTGGTCTGGGACCTCAGGCTGTTTTCCAAGATGTGCACAATGAGGCTGTCCACCTGCTCCTGATGTGTGGTCCACCTAGTGGCTGAGCTTGCAGTTCTCCATCACCAAGTTTGTCCAGGTTCTGCACTTGCTACTCAGACCTGTCCATCACCGCAGATCCACAGTGCTCAGGGCCTCTTCCAGTGCTCTGGTCACCTGTGGCATGATCTTGGTCATAAGAACATGAGACACAGCACATGGTCACTTGAGGACAGGTGACAACACAGTGGAGCCCCACTTGATGATGCACTGTCTCCCCTCCTTCCCTTAATCATTACAGTCTGTCTTTGGGGTCTTGGTTATGGGAACTTTATCTTTGTCCTTTTTCCCAGTTTGTTTCACCGCCATGTCATTGCTGAGAGGAACATCTTCTTGCTGTGCTGTGTTAGAACACCCAGCCTTGAGCATTGTTCTCCTCCCCTCACTTGATCTTCATTTATGTTGCCATCACTTCTTCCTCAACAGTCTGACTCCAAGGGCTGCAAGGTGCAGACTCCTGGCTGTAGCAAGTGCAGGGCAGCAGGAGATGAGCCCACCTTGGCACAAACCCACTGAGCTTAAGTCTGTGCTACTGTGGGGGCTATCAGGCTGCCAGGCTGGGGCCCTCAGTCTATCGTGCACCTTCCCAGATGGCCTCTGGCTCCAGGACCCAGCACAGGCTGCCCCATGTGAGGAATTTTCAAATAAAATTTCAATACAGAAGAGCTGGGGACATGGCTCAAGCAGTAGAGCACATTCCTAGCAAGCATGTGGCCCTGAGTTTGAATTTCAGTACCACCTAAACAAAAAGACCCAAATAAAATTTCAACACAGAAAATTTAGTAAGAGCCAGGTGCCGGTGGCTCACGCCTTATAATCCTAGCTACCCAGGAGGCCCCAGCAAATAGTTCAAGAGACCCTATCTTGAAAAACACCAATCACAAAAAAGGGCTGGTGGATTTGCTCAAGGTGTAGGGCCTGAGTTCATATTCCAGTACCACAAAAAAAAAAAAAAGAAGAAGAAGAAGAAGAAGAAGAAGAAGAAAAAAGTTCCCTCCCTGTATAGGTATCTTAAACAAACAAAAATGTCTTTTTTCAAAAACAGAGGATGGGAAGGTAAAACAGGTCCTGTCTGGGGGTTGGTACTGGTGGGAGGGGGAAGATGTAAGGAAAGGATGTAGGAGGGTGAATATGGTGGAAATATTGTATACTCATATATGAAAATAGAAAAGTGAGACATGTTGAAACTATTCTAAGATTGGGGGAGGGAGGAAAAGGAGAATGATGGAGGGGGTGAATTCAGCTAAGATATATCGTGAGCACTTTTGTAAATGTTACAGTGTACCCTCATTACAGCAATAATATTATAATAGAAATAAAAAGCTCCCTGTCAGCTATAATCCTAGTCACCCATAATTCATTGATATTCATTGTTTGGGTAAATACTTCTATCTTTTATCTATATAAATGTACATAATTTTTGTAATGAATATACATAACTTTTGGTAACAAAATGGAATCATTCTGTACATACCATTTTGTTGGTCGTTTCTTTTTTTCTTGCAAAAACAGTTTTTATTTACCCCCATAATCCTCTCAGGTTTATAAATTGTCCACAAAGGCAGTAGTGATCAGTTTAACTTAACATAGGAATTCAAGAACGCAATTCTGGGAGACTACATTGACCATCCAATGGCAAACTCATGAACATTTCAAGAAAGGCAGTTATAGATTTTCCTTAGAGGCTTTCAAGAAAAACTATGCTTAAGAAGAGGGTACAAATCCTCCTCTTTTTGCCTTCTTTGGCTCCATAAAAGAGAACAACAGAATTTCAAGCCAAACTTAAACGATCTAGTAAATGTCTTTAATGAAGAGAAAACTGCAGCTTCAAATTGTAAATGACTTACCTAATGAGAGGGAGCTAATTTCTATTTAGTATAAGGATATAAAACCAAGTAGACACAGGTCAAACACTGCTCTTATCTCCACTATCACTGGTTTGTTTTGTTTTGCAGGAGTTAAGACACAAATTTAAATACACCATTGTCACCAGAAATACATTTTTAGCAGTGAACATCCTAACTGCTTAAGCTGGATTTTCTGTCTTGCTAAGCTACAGATACTTTAAACATTTTCTAAAGAACTGTGATGTGAAAGGTAAAAAATGGCCCTAAAACAAGAATCAAATATGCATACTTTACACGCAAAAGCATTATTTAACCAGATATCAGAAAATGCACCTGGGATTTTTTTTTTCTCAGCACATAATGGTGTACTTGCAAGACAAACATGTTGTCTTAATCATCTTTGTTTCTTTGTAACACCAAGTATGTTATTGTAAAAACACATGCATACACCTATGGTAAGTATGTACAAACATATATAGAAATTTTAAATGCAAACTTTTTCCAGGTAGTGTCCAGTACCTGGACTTCTGGAACCAAAAGCCACAATCTGCGAGACTGCTGGAAAGGAAGAAATGCATAGAGATAAGTAGTTCCAGGGAGGAAATGTTAACCTTTGGCTGCCAGGCACACCGACCCTAGAAGCTCTGGGCCTGAGCTAGTCAAATCAGTGGCCCAGAGGTTTGTGTGACAGACACCATCAGGTCCTTCCTAAGTTGGCTCTGATTTTCAAAGCGGTCAGAAGCAGTCGTCAGAGATGGCTGGGGTGTTGATTCTGGGTCATTTCAACTTCTTACAGGTCCCCAGGCAAGAACAGGGTTGCAAGGTGGTGCAAAGGCACAGGGGTTGGGGTGAGCAGGATTGGGCCCAGCATCTTGGAGCTGAGAAACTATTTGTGGAGCAAAGACAAGCAAGGCAGGCGCGGGCTGCTGCTGTCCCCCCCACCCGCCACGGTGAGCGTGGCCCAGGGATTGTCTATGTATCCCTGTCGAAGGCCCACTGAGCCAGGATGGGGCTCTCCCTCCCACGTAGGGGAGCACCCACTCCTCTGCTGGCCTACCAGGAGGCTGATTAGAAACTCCACCTTCAGGGTATCGTTGGAGAACCTGGCCTGGAAGAAGTTCATGTAAGAGGCTGCTTGGATCAAAAATTCGGGCAGTCGGGCGGAGTCGCCGTTAAGCGACTATGGACAGTGGGGCGGACGCACCTGCACCAGCAGGTTGGCTTTCTCGCACAGTAGGCGCCGCACCTGGTCCAGGAGCTCCTTGTTCTCCCTGTGCAGAGAATGGTTCTGGGTCCGGAGGTCCTGCATCATGACCGCCAGCGCATCCATCCCCACAGCCACACCGCCCATTTTGTTGGTCATTTGACTCAGTTGAAACACTGAACATTTTATAGATAATAAATATCTTCAATATCCTTTTTAATGGGTATATACTAGCCCACTTTGTAACATTCGTGCCATTTTTATTGGTACTTGGGCTATTTCTGATCTTTTGCAATCTGCTAAATAAAAATAAGTAGTAATTACTTATACAGCTTCCTAATTAATGAAGACATATGTGATTTTCAAGAACAACTCCTGTATTTGGTGCTTGCCTCTGCCTTTTCACCTCTACTTGGTCTGAAGTCTTTGTTTCAAACAGATTTTCAGCCTTGCCTGTTGTGCCCTCAGGCCCCCTCTTTGTTAGTACAGACAGACTGGCGGGAAATGTCACGAACAGATTTTCTGGCTGCTGTGAAATAAAGTGCTCCACAACTTGGTTGCTAAGAAAGCCAAGGGACTAGTTGCCGCAGCAGAGAACCGGCCCTTGATAGTTTGAGTTGCTCATCTAGGTTTGAGCTGTGTCACTCTGTGTAATAGTCATTAACCATTTATATTTAAATATAACTAAATTTAAATCAAATTCACTTAGTTTCTCAGTTACACGGCCTACATTTCAAGAGCTCGGTAACAACATGTGATTTGTGGTTACCGGTATGGACCATGAGTAGGACATTGCTAGCATTACAGAATGTTCTATTGGACAGCACCAGCATGGAACACCTCACTACTGGCTATGATGTATCTATTTTGGATGGGCACTAGTGGCTCATGCCTATTTTCTTAGCTACTTGGGAGGTTGAGGTCCAGAGGATCATGGTTCCAGGCCAGCCCAAGAAAACCATTCTCAAGACCCCATCTCCAAAAATAACCAGAACAAAATGAACTGGAAATGTGGCACAAGCCATGGAGTGCCTGCTTTGCAAACGTGAAGCCTTGCATTCAAACCCTAACCCCACCAAAAAAAGAAAAAAAAAAAGAAAGAAAGAAAAAATATGTCTATTTTGTAAATGAACTGCTCGTTTCTTAAAAAAAAAAAAAAATCTATATGTATTTCTTTGCCCACAAGGCCCAGTTGCAGTGAGTAAAATTTATAATTCTATACTTTTTTATGTTAATGATTTAGTTAAAAATTTTAAGACATTTTTTACACCATTACTATAAGTATCATGACTTTCCTTTATTATCTGGCCGGCTATTTTGCTCATTTATATATGAGGTTCCAGAGAATCAAAGAGATGACGTAATCATCCTTGGTAAATGTCTAAGGTGTGGGAACAGGATCTTTGTCCCTAGTCTTCTGGTCCCAAGTGCCCGGCTGGCTTCCCTACCCTGCACCGCAATCCTCCCCACACAACAGTGGCAACAACATGACATTTTATTCCCTGTCAAGGGGTGAAGGCAATACCCAGAAATAAGTTTTCATTCTGACTTTGAGACGAAATGTTCTCGAATTATAAAAATGAAAGTAATTTATTCGTGTGGTGAAGCTGGTTTTCTGTTGAAATTATTTCCGCTTTCTGTTTCTATTTCCAGCTTGAACAGTTTTGGAGCCTGTTCTTCACTTCAGAAGGTGGGAAAGAGAAGAAAATGGTGGACAACTTCCATCCCCTTCAGCCACAGATGAATCGCACTGTCCGCTCATCCTTCCGCCATGATTATGTGCTGAACATACCAACGAAACCCAAGCCAGCTGCCAGCCAAGTGGGCTCCTAAGATGGTCACATCTAGGCAGCATCTTGCTTTAATACATACTAGCTTATAAAATATTATTAGACAATTTTAAACACCTGCATTTAATGGTATTCATAGATAAACTTTTCTTTCTTTGTCATTTCAGAGTTACTATCCTTAGCCAGGTGCTGGTGGCTCACACCTGTAATCCTAGCTACTCTGGAGGCAGACATCAGGAGGATCACTATTCAAAGCCAACCCTGGGCAAATGGTTCCTGAGACCCTATCTCAAAAATGCCCAACACAAAAAAGGACTGGTGGAGTGGCTCAAGTGGTAGAGCATCTGCCTGGCAAATGTGAGGCCCTGAGTTCAAACCCCAGTACTGCCAAAAAAAGTTACTATCCTTGTAAGGCAGGGAGAGGGAGACAGAACAATAGAAAAATAGCTGGTTGGTTTCTATCAGGTTACTTTAGGTCACCCTTTCTTGTGAAAAGATTAAGGTAGAGGGAAATTGAAACTGACCTTATTGGGCAATTTGACTGTTAGCTCTCTAATCCTGTTTTTAAAAGGGCAGATAAACAGTTTAAGTTTCTGCTTGGTTAAGTGGCACTTCAGTGTGAGTGACTTCATTTTGATTGCTAACTTGATCTGCTGGGGCCTTATACAGGAGCTTAGTCCAAAACAATGACTGCCTGTAGTTTTTATTTAACACTTTCCCCCTTTTGGTTAGACTCTCATGGCCTTAGGGCATTAGTGCTACTCTCAGTTACCACCATTTTGGGCTGCTGGTCTCCATGTGTCCTAGGTCAGAAGTGCATTTATTGGTGTGGGAGTGCTTCATCTCTCTTTGATGAAAGCTGTTTGGTAAATAAATTCATTTTTGATTGATAATAGTGTGTATAACTGGAATGCCAGCACGAGATACAAATTTCTCTTACAGTAACCCCTTGGCAATTGTAATATGTTTTACATCTAAAATTTTTGAGCTTTTTATGTTTCTCAATTAATGGCTCGATAGCATTTTAAGTAGAAGTTATAACCAAATGTTTAACTGGTAAAGACACAGAAATCGACAACACAGAACAGGCCTTTCAGAAAACACCTCTGGGGCCCAGACTGGTACCTCCTGGCTGAATATTGGAATATGGGAATAAATTAAGTGTATTTTATTTCAAACTATGAATGTGTATTCTTTTATTATGGCTCCTCATTAAGTGTATTTGCCCCAATCTTTACTTGCCATTACTAGTATACGATGAGTCTACTTATTATCAATTTATTATATAGGAAATATGTTTTGTAATTACAAGAAAACAAGGGCTTTTATTATCTCTGGCAATCCTTTTGCATTTTTGAAGATGAGATATTTCACTTAAAGGCTTGGGGTCATATAGAGAGCATAGGTAGAATATTTTAATAAAAATGAGTTAGGCACCCGTGGCTCACTCCTATAATCCTAGCTACTTGGGAGGCTGAAATTGGTTTGAGGTTTGTGGTTCGCAGCCAACCAGGGCAAATAGTTTGTGAGACCCCATCTCCAAAAATAACCAGAGCAAAATGGAATAGAAGTGTGGCTCAAGCAGTAGAATGCCTGCTTTGCAAATGTAAAACCGAGTTCAAACTTCAGTCCCACCAAAAAGCAACAGGAAAAAAGAAAAAAGAAAAAAAAGAAAAACTTAAAATGCCTAGAATGTAGAATTCTTTCATGGTACATCTACAGAAATACATTTCAAAGGACTAGTAATCTAACAGACCACAGTATTATTTTTGCATTATTTGTATACTGTTACAAATAATATAATGATACTCTCTGCACAATGATAGAGTTTACCTTCCCTTTAAAACTGTTTGAAACTTATTTTATTTGCTTTTATATTTTATATTTATATCAAGTTCTTTGTTAGGTAAGGTAATCAACTTAGTTCTCCCAGTTTCTACAGTGGTTTGGAGACTTTTCTTATAGTAAGATGGAGAGAAACTTGTCAATGTAAAAATCCAGATAATTCTACATATTCTGAGTGGTGCATGCCACTATTGCTCGTTTCTAAATATCTTAGCATGTTTCCAGCTGCCTCTAAGCTTGTGTTCAGACTCAATGTTGCATCAAACCTAGAAGTATTTTATTAATATGCTAGTCATCTAGTTTGCAAGATAGGATTGGATGAATATACCTAGCGCTACCAAACTATACACTTAAAGATGGCTAAGGTGGAAACAGTGTTACATCAAACTTAAACACTTATGCTCATCAAAGAAAGCAATCAACAGAAAGCAAAGAAACCCATGAGATGATTTGCAACAATCCTAATTATTGGGGAAATGCAAATCAAAATCACAATGAAATATTAAAGCACATTTATCATGATAGCCACTATCAGAAGAGAAAAAATGACAAGTGTTACAAGGATGCAGAAAAAGTAGAATACCTGTGTGCTGTTGGTGGGAATGTAACATGGTATAGCCATTAAAAACAGAATTACCAGTCAGGCGCCAGTGGCTCACATCTGTAATCCTAGCTACTCAGGAGGCAGAGATCAGGAGGATTGTGGTTCAAAGCCAGCCTGGGCAAAATAGTTCTCCAGACCCTATCTCGAAAAAACCCATCACAAAAAAGGACTGGCAGAGTGGCTCTACACCTCTGGGTAGATATCCAAAAGAATTTAAAGCAGGATCTTTGCACACCCATGTTTATAGCAGCAACACAATAGCCAAGAGTCGTGGTAGAAGCAACCTAAATGCCTACTGATGGATGAATGGCTAAAGAAAATGAAGTTCAATGGAATATTATGTGGCCTTGAAAAAGAAGGAAATCCTGTCACATGTACAATGTGGAGAAAACTTGAGGACGTTATGCTAAGTGAAATAAGCCAGTCACAGAAGGACACATACTATATGATTCCATGGAATGGGGACATAGTTCAAGTGCCAGAGTGCTTGTCTAGCATGCGTGAGGCTCAGAGTTCAATACTCAGTGCCACAAAAAGGGAGAGAGAAAGAGACATGACATCTAGCCCTGACACAACCATGGGCAATTCATCTACATCTTTCAGGCCCATATGCTTCCACTCATATGAAGTGTCTAAAGTCATCAAAATCATAGCAACAGAAAGTAAGATGTGGTTGCTAAGAGGTGGGGAGAGAGGAGGGAGAATTCATATTTACTGGTGTGATGGTTAATCTTGATTATCGACTTGACTGGACTGAGAGAAACCTACGATTTTAGTAAAGTACACCTCTGGGTGAGACTGTGAGAGCATTTCCAGAGACAGATCATGAGGACTCTGATTCAATCAACATTCTGATCCATTGGTGGATTCAAAATTTGAATAGACTGTTGCAAGGTGGTGGAACTGTGGAAGGTGGGGCCTGGTTGGAGGAAGTGGGTCCCTGGGAAGTGTCCTGGGGGACTATATCTTGCCCTGGCCTCTTCCATTTCCTGCTCTGCTCTGCTTCCTGGTTGACATGAGGTGAAGAGTATTCTTCTACCACATCCTGTTGCCATGATGTACTGCCTCACTACAGGCCCAGAAACATGGAACCAGCCCACCATGAACTGAAACTTCTGAAACCATGAACCGAAATAAATCTTCCCTCCTTTAAACTATCTCAGGTATTGGCCACAGTGATGAAAAGTCTGATTAACATGAATGGGTAGAGTTTCAGTGTTGCAAGATGAAAAAGTTCTAGAGATCTGTTGAATGTGAATATACTCAACACTACTGAACTATAAGCTTTAAAAGAGTTTAGATGTGAAAAAAAAAAAAAAAAAAAAACAAAAAAATCCCCAGCCAAGTGTTGGTGGCTCATGCCTGTAATCCTAGCTTCTCAGGAGACAGAGATCAGGAGACTCTTGGTGCAAAGCCAGTCCAAGCAAATAGTTTGCAAGACCCTATCTTGAAAAACCCATCACAAAAAAGGGCTGGTAAAAAAAAAATAGATAAACAAATGAGTTTCGATGTAAGTCAGGTGCCTGCGGCTCATGCCTGTAATCCTAGTTATGTGGAAGGCTAAGATTGGGACGATCGTGGTTCAAGTCCAGACTGGGCAAATAGTTTGTGAGACCCCCCCATCTCCAAAATAACCAGAGCAAAATGGACTGAGGGCATGGTTGAAACCACAGTGTCTGCATTGCAAGCAGAAAGTCCCTGAGTTCAAACCTCAGTCCCACCAAAAAAAAAAAGTTAAGATGGATAAATTAAAAATATATCTATCATGCTAAATTTTTTTCCCAGCATTCAGAAGGTTGAGGCAGGAGGATTGTGAGTTCAAGGCCAGCATAGTGAATTCAAGGTCAGTCTGTGCTCCATAACCAGATTTTGTCTCAGGGGAAAAAAAAGGTAAAACTTATGTGTATTTTACCACAGAAGTAAATACAGTTTTTTTTGTTTTTTTTTTTTAAGATAGGTTTGAAGTTGTGTGTGCAAGTTTGGGGGATATCTCTTCTCTAACAATAGGTGGAGGTGAAGCCTTTTCCATGTGTGCTCTAAAAAGATAAACATAGAGGGCTGGGGATATGGCTGAGTGGTTGAGCTCTTGCCTAGCATGTGCCACACCCTAGGTTCCATCCCCAGCACTACAAAAATAAAATGAAATGAAAAAATAAACATGGTGAAAAGAAGTTTCTGTTACCTTCATGCAATTCATCTATTTCAAATTATAGTTACCTTTCAAAGGGTAAAGACACAAGATACACGTTTTCTAGGATGCACCACAGGCTTTTCTCCTAGCCTCTTGGAAAACTTGATCGCAGTGAGTCTTCTGATTGGAGCAGGAAGCAATGTACAGAATGACTAATGTAGAGATATAAAGGAAGTATTTATAAGGTGGCTGTGTGTCTTGGTTTGCCAGTCCTGATTTACTTGGATCTGGTGTCTGGTTTAATTATAGTGACATCCGCTTTCATTCTCAATCATGTCCTGGTGTGATAAATTCTTGCTCATCTTCCTCCCATGGATTCTGAAAACTGCTTTGAGATTCCTTCCATCATGCTTTTGTCACATGATCCATCAAGGGGCACTGTCAATTCCCTGGCTACTAATAC